AATTAGTATAAAATGATACACAGTGAAACTGTATCATTGCCTTATTCCACCGGTGCCAAAGATCTGTGACAATACAACCTTGTCCAGGACAGTTTAGTGGCACAAAGTTAGCAAAGCATTTCTGGTCAGCCTTCCTGCAGATCTGCAAGGGCAAATGGGTGTTTGGGACTGCACAGCTGGGCAGGGCACCTGTTGTGAAAGCCATAATGCAGGTAAGGGACATGGGGGGACACAGTAAATTAGCCTGGGTGAGGAATAGCTGCTAAAAGAAAGCAAATCCTTGTGAATCTGTGGGTGTTTAAGAAAACCCATAAAGGTATTTTACACTGAACCATATCTAGTTTATTGAATTTTGGCTAAAGAGAGAGTGCAGTGGTAGATGAGCTCGAAAAAAAGTTTTTGAAGAGTGGTTAAACAACTTCTTTCTCTACTCCTTCCCTGGTGACCTGACACACTTTTCTATTTTTGTCAAATTAATAACCTGCCTCAAGACATTGAATTCAATGACAAAACCCATGCAGTTGGTAACAGGATCAGGATTTTGCTCTGGGATGTTTCCTATGCTAATAGTATTTATACTTCTGGGAAAATAAGACCTCAAAAGAATCTTAGAAATATCTTGACAAATCTCGCGTGTATTTCCTTCTCTCTTCTGTGTTAACCCACTGACTGAGTTCAACAGAAGTCTCTTCAGCAGTCATCTGCTTTCAGCAGATTATTTTAATGTCATAAATGCAGCCTTGAAGTCACCAGGTTCTTGAATGTTGTCTGAATATTTTCTTCTATTCTTCAAAGACCAGTGCAGGGTTTCCTAAACACAAATTCAAGATTGGCCTCCTGGCTTTGCTCTGTGGCATTAAGAATGCAAGAAGCAATCATAAAGTATGGAAAATTGATGAGAAATGCGTATAGAATGAGAAGATAATTCTGTGGCAAAAGAGAAATCCGACATCATATGTAAATGGAAAGGTCACACTGACCTCCAAAGAGCTTTATTTCAAGTAGGTTTCTTTTGAAGAATATTTAGACATTGACTGAGACTTCATTGGCTGTGATATTTGCTAATGGTCTGAAAGGGTACATGTCTATAGCTGAGAACCACCAGGTGCCACATCTTTATCAAATGAAAACACTGGTGGTATGGTACACAGGAATGACTGCATAATTGCTATCCTAAGATATAAAGGATAAAACCTGTTAATGAGATTTATTTAGCATAATCTATTTCAACTTTTCAAGCTACAGAGTTGATATTTTCTCTGGTAAAGTAGCAAAGAGATAAATTTGGCAAAATTTTATCAACTGACAGAACCAAATAATTCTTTATCTAAGCAGATTCAGCAGTAAAAATGTTTGGAGAACATCTGTAGAAGCCCAGAAGATGTGTATGTCACTGATAGCCAGATGGCTGTGGACCCAACCAAGGATGGTTGGTAAGGACATGCTGTGAAAAAGAACAGGAATCAGGAGAAGAGACCATGTAGGTCTCTGTAAAACTCTCCAGGGCATCACTTTCTGGGACAGATGTCCTTGTCCTGGCTCCTGGAGAGAGGCAGCACAGCCCAGCACAGCAGGAATGAGGCCAAGAACTGGATATGGACTGTATTGTGTATCAAGACCACCCAAGACCCCCAAAGCCTCTGACCCATTTCCAGAATGGTCTGAAAGAATGAACTTCACATGAGAACTGATTTGCATAGAAAGAGAGAAATTTATCTCCAAGGTGGGAAAACTTATCTCTAAAGGGGTACCCCCAGCACTCTGGGTCACAGGGCACTGTCAGCTGGATCAGCTCTGGAGCCAGGATTTACAGTCTTTCTCTCATTCTTCCTTTTCTTCTCTCCTTCTCTGAAATCCATCTGTCTCTCTTCCCCTCTTTAATCCATCTCTCCCCCTCTTTCCTTTCACCCTACCCTTTTGTTCAAAACCCACCTCTGTGTGCTTGGACAAGGACATCACGGACTGATTTATACCAATGCCCATGCCTAGTGTGTAATTTTCTAATAAAAATTCACAACTTTTGCAGAACCTCTGACTTCTGTCGTTCCTTTCTACCACAAACATCAATAAATCTTGGGTCACTCTTCCCCTTGAGCATGGGACACCACAACATTTTAGCATGTTTCACTCAAGCCACCAATCTATTAAAGAAAACATTGCTGCAAGACCACAATAAAAGAAGAGGAAATTTAGTAATTTAGATGTTGCAATATATTTTCACACTGTCCTCAACCCTTTAAATAAAAGGTTTCTAGAGCACTACACACCCTGTTGACATGATCTAATTCAACAGGAAGAGCCATTGCTTAAAGAAATGTTGCATAGTATGACCAGATGGGCCACTACAGCATCAGCAAATGGCTTAATAACACTGTGCTGGGTTCACCCTCTTTCTATGCTTTTTGCAGGAAAATAATGAGCAGTGTAGGTAGGTTATGTATTCCTTATAGTGTTGCATCTGGAAGAATATGATTTAAAGTATATATATTTCCATTTGCCAAGAAAGTGAATGAGTTTATTTTCCCCTAGGTTGGAATACCAAGCACTTGTACATACACTGGGTTTTGACTGCAAATACAGAAGATTTCAAAAGGAAGCAACTTTAATAGTAAATGGTCAAGGAGTATGGGGATGATGCATTTCAAGCATCAATACTCTATTTAATAAAAATATATCTAATTATTTTGCTTCTTAGTGATATGTTTTTCCGTCATAAATCAGGATGATTAATTTACAAAATCAAAGCCTTGACCATGATTTAGTTTGTTTTTTCCCATATGCATCCATGTAGTCCTTCAGTGCAAAAACTTGGCATGATTGAAAATTTTTTTGATAGTTTCATCTACTAGTGAACAGTTTAAATGACTTTTGTTTAATTGTCAAGGCAGGAAACTTGTGAAAAGTCAGAAGTAAATTCATGTAAGATTGCAAAAAATATTCATCAAGCTGCCTTGGTCATTTTGTCCACCAGAACAGTCAGATGCTGTTTTCTGAACAATAATCTAAATAACCGTGTTGTAGATCTCCAATATTTTGCATTTTGATGTAAACTTTTCCTCACTTTGGAAGTTTTTAAAAAGGTCAAGTGTTGACCCTGTGGACTGTGTTTAGTATGGTTTCTTGGTTATATCTTTTAGCTACTTCCTTAAGAGAGGAATTGATTTTTAGCACATTGTATAGACATAATAAGTGTGTAGTCAGATGCAGGGAGCGCTGGGCACCAGAACTGGCCTTGTCCTGAGAGGTGTGAAAGACCTGTCACAGTGTAATGCCAAAAGGAAGTAGTAAGTTACGTGTTTCACATGACAGGTGATGCTATATTGCACCCATCAGCTCCCAGAAATGCATGTTCATCCAGTGGAAGTGTGCTCAGTCCTGCTCCAGACTGTCTGCCACAGACAGTAACACCCCCATGGATGCAGCCCAGGGTTTGATTTGCCTTTGCACTGAGGCCTGATCAGCTTGCTGTCCATCAGGAGCCCAGATCTCTTCCAGCAAAGTGCTGCCCAGCCACACAGACCCTGCACTGGGCTGGGATCTTTGGTTATGCCATCCCAGGAGCTGGAGTTTGCACACATCTTTGTTAAACTTCATAAAGTTCTGACTTGCCCACCTTTCCAAATCTCTCCTTGTAAAATGGCTCTCCCTTCTAACATGTTAATCTCACCAACCAGTGTTGTGTTATCAACAAACCAGCTCACTTACAGAGACGCTGGACACTGTATCCCACTGTGAGACCCTGCTTATGACTAACAGGTATTATGATATGCAAACACGCCTCATGTCTGGACTTGTATGCTAATAGTCACCTGAATGTTTGCACGAGTTACATATACATTGAATATCCCCAATAATAAACACTTTTTAGATTTATCTTACATCCCTATGTTAAAAATAAAGTTTCTGCAGCTGTAGGTCTGTTAATCTATTGATTTGATAATCTGGATATATGAATTTGGAAAGATTTTTGAGATTATTTATTTTTGAGATAATATTAATTGTTTCTGACTTTACTTTTCCATGCTAATCTATTAAATAACTTTTCCTATATTTGGAGGTGTATCCTGTGAGACACTGATGTACAGGTGTCTTTTTTCTTTTCCTTTTTGATTTGATAATGATTAATTTACAGCTGAAAATTAAGTTCCTTTATTTTGTTTTGAAACTTCCAATGAAGCTTCCTCAGGAAGCTATTAGAATTCCTAATTACTCTGACAGTTAGCATGCTACATTTAATTTCAAAGTCCAGCTTATTTATCCTCAGTTTGTTTCTGAGTTTTGTCTTCAGTAACAGGTTTCCATGCTTCCTTCTCATTAGGTTAATGAATTGTTCAATATGTTTGATTATAACTGCAACACTTTGTTCTTTCAGAAAAAAGAACTGAAATATCAGGCATTAATTCTACTTTCTTGTCCATAGCATATTCAGTCCATGCAGTCTACAGTGATAACCTGAAATTCAGGCACATAACAAGATTTATTTTAAAATCTTTAAAATCAGTCCTTTTTACCCTCAGCTGAGCTTTTTCCTCTCACATTCACTGATCTAACAGGTTTCTCTTCAGGAGAGCCGTCCTCCTCTTCTGTAACTTAGTAACTAGTTGCAGGCACTAGTTTTGCATTATTTTAACCAAGTAATTGTGAAGAAAAGTGAGTAAGAGCAGCAGAAGGACAAGAAAATTTTCTTCAGCCTGGAGTCTGTTCCATTATCAGCAGCAATGTGTTTTAGTGCTCCAGTGGTGTAAAACTGTGCAAGTCCCAACAAAGTGCTCCTTATCATTGTAGGCGAGTAGTTGCCTACATTTCATATGGATTCTGTGCTGCCTGTAAGGTCCTTGCTAAATCTAGAAAATCTTGTCCAAAATACAAAACCATTTTCCCTGCCAAGTAGCCCACACGCAGTCAGTGACCACCAGCCCACACAGAGCCTGCCGTAATGAGTAATGCCAATCTTACATTCCAATACTTATTACTCACACTTCTCCAGCATCCTTACCTACCTTTGTGAGGGGGAGAAAAATCTCATACATGGAGCAAAAGGCTGGCAGCTAGGAGGTGATAACTTGATTCTGTAGGTAAACCATTGTGATCAAAGCTTTGTGGTACATTTCGGTGAGCCATGTGTGTTGCCATAAGACAGTGTGATTACCATAAAGTGGATTCAATATTGGGAGTTGCATCATAGATGAATCACGCTGTCAATGGGAGTTGCTTTCATGCAGAATACAGAAGACTAATCATGTTAATATCTTCCATGAAAAGTGATAGCAGCAAGGTGGCTACCAAGAGAATTTCTTCCCTGTGATGACTACAACTTGCTCTGCAGCATCACAGTACGATGCATTCCCTAAAAGCCCAGTACCTTATATAGAAATGATCTTGCAAAGTTTGAAAAATCAATAAAAGTGATAGGTAACTTGGAGCAGGAAGAATTATATGCCTTTCCATTTGCTGCCAGATTACTTCAATGTTAATTTTTTTTTTTTAAGGCTTGTGAATGTATTCAGTTAACGAGCTTCTAGACTACAGTGTGGGAGGCAGAGTGGGTGAAGTGCAGGAGAGGTATTTTCTCTCTCTTCCTAATACTGTTATCCCTGTTCTTGTTGAAAGAGTTAAGTCAATTTTACATCCAAGTTTCTCCCTGGAAAGGAAACTGATTACATAAAATCTATAATACTTGAAATTTCTTTGTTATAATTGATATGACTACTTGCTGATTGAAGTGTACTGTGCTATTTGCTATTAAAAAATAGATTTTAAAGTTCAGTTATTTAATGTTGGGGGATTAGCAGAAATTAATTTTTAAAGATTGTTGGAGTCTTAGAGCATTGTGTATAAGGGAAAAAATTAGCCACTGACTAAGAGTTCTAAGCATTTCCTATCATGAAGGCTGTGATTTACTTTGACTCCATTTTCACTTTTATTCCCTGCTAACTTTATTTCATTTAAAAGGAGCAGAAGGCTCCTGAGGCAATAGTTTCAAATACAGTTGTACAGTCCTGCCATAGCACCCATTAGTCTGAATGACGCAGAACAGAAGTTAAAACAAACAGATAATTACTTTGTATTGTAAAATACAATTAATCTATATTCAGGCTATGATGTGGCAATTAACTTGAAGGAAATAAAGAAATTCCAGTTTCATCTATTGAAATTGCATTTCAGTTTGTAACATGTGAGGTAAAGAGATCCACAGATAAGTCTGTTTCTACAAACTATAGGACACAGAGAGCAATTGGATATGCTTGATAAACCTAAGCTATCATTCTAATTAGTTGAAGTGAAACATTGCCATTTCAAAAGATCCGGCAATTAGGAAATTTGGTGCTACACATCGTTATCCAAGAGTCATGCCAAATTCTTGTGTTTAAAGTAAAAGCCAAACTCCTTCCTTGCAGGGAGGAGGCATGGCCTCTGGGAGAGGATGCAGTCTGATTTTTCAGCCGGAGGCAGTCAGTCAGAAAACACACCTGAGAGCAAAGACTAGAAAAGTATGTTATCTTTACTTGTACTGACCTCTAAGGAACAAGACCTTTGTCTTTTTTTTTTGTCTTTTTTTTTTTTTTTTTTTCTTTCCATAATGCCTTTCCTCTTCCAGAACTAAAAGGCATAATCTTCCATCTCAGGAGGGTGCTTATAAAAAATGCCAGTTGTCTTGGGGTAATGATGTGCCCTTAAACTCTGGCAGTGCTTGATTGCAGGCCTAAAGATCATCCTGATTATAGGATAGTTGCAAATGGAAATCTGAGAGTTCATGCTAGTTTAAAGGATATAGACAGCTAATGTGCAGTAACTTGTTACCCTTTGAGATAACTTGTTTATGTGTTGAACCTCTGGAGATTCAAAAGAGTCTGGAATGTGATGTATGAATTTCCTTAGACTGATCTGAGGAGGGGTAGTGGACTGTTGGGTATTTTCCCCCCATATGGCAGTGTGAGAAGCAGCTTTACTTACATTAGTTTATCCTGTCCTAAGAAGTCAGATTGCAGGAATGGAGACATGTGGCTTGACACATGTTGCTGTGTGGAATAGTTTGCAGGATGACATCTTGCTGACAGAGCAAACTTGCAGAGCTGCAGAATGAATTCTTCTCACCTGTATCCTGTTAATCTAATTCCAAAACTCCTTATGTTTGTGGTCTCAGGGTGGCACAGTGGTTTGCACTTTGGCAAGCAGAGAAAAACATTACTGGGTTGTAGCTCAACATTATTACCATTGCACCCATCTTTAGGAAGACATGCTTTTATTGGCAGAAGCATTTTTATTTGCATATTGATAAAATAATGATTATCATTGGAGAGCCACAGTCCCTGTAGTCACATAAAAACATCCCCATTCCATATTTGCTTGTCAGTGACATCTACTTTAATATCTATCAGTCAGCTTTCTGAAGCTGCTTGTTTGGCATGTTAAGGATATTGCATAGTGTTATTTTTAACCAGAATGTTATGCAGCACCAAGTCAAACATCTCATTGTAACTACAAACATGCTGCCTCTCTGTTATACCTCCATCACACATGCAGTCTGATTGATGAAAGCAGTTTCGTTTGACAAGATCCAATTTCTATAACATGATGTTAACAAGTATTAATTATATTCCCATCCTTTCATCTTTTATCTCTTGCATTCCATGTAAGCTTGTCTCCTGCTTCACCTGGATTAATTGAGTGATAAGTATTTAGGTCATTTCCATGATGTTGTCTGTAATTGATTGGTAACTGCCAACCTATCCTTAGTTTTCTAAGATACATAAAAGTAGTATTAGTGTGATGCTCTTGTCTTTCTCTTTTAGGATTCTTGAGTGGAAGTTATCATAATTTAAAAATAAATCTACAAAGATGACGTTGAGTACAGCATCCTCTTTAATAACCCATGAGCTGGACAAGATTTCATTTTCTTTCCTCTGCACTGCTGCTTTTTAAACACACAAAGACACAAAAAAATCCACATAATAAGTATAAGCTGCTCATCCTTTTACACATAATTCCCGCTCAGTGTACTGAACTGTTAATACTACTACTACTACTTCCACTACTACTTCCTCCCCTACCCTGCCCCCCTCCTCCCCCCGCCCAGGAATTTTTCACCTGCTTTTTATCCATCTGAGTCAGGGTTCTAAACTTGCTCTAAACTTGACTTTTGAGCTTTTTGAACATTTCTCCTGCATTATCACTCCTCCTGAATTGTCAGTGCTATGCACTCCTTGTTTCAGTTCTAACTTGTGCTTTCAATTTCCTGATTTGCTTTCCCATGAGAGGACAGTACTTTTCCTTTCCTTCATTTTCTTTCATTTAATTTTGAAACATATGCCTTCAACTGTCACTCAGTTTTATTCTTTAGCTTTAGGCATTTGATTTCTGGCTTCTGAGTTTTTGTTTATCTAAGTAATCTGTTTTACTTAGGCTGCAATCCAAACCATCAATTTTCAAACTAGATTTTGTTTCAACTCTTTATGTGAAGACAAAGAGCCGGGATCAAGATTTGAGGATCATCAATGTTTTTATGGATCCATTTCATACATTGTAGTAATCTATATGCCATTATAGAGTAGACACACCCCAGACAGAAGTGGTTTTGAACAAAACATGAACACACAGTGACTGATCATGTGTCTCTCCAAATGTCAGTCTTGTAGCATCTCTGCTCAATGCCATAATCTAAATGTTAGCTGTCCTATTTCCCCTTTGGCAGTCAAATAAATGAATAAAAACCCAGCAAAACTGCTTTTTTAGCCTTTGTCTAGGAAAAAACAATAAAAGAGGCCATGAAAAATTTAATCTAGATGTTTTAAGGCTTTTCTTGTCCTTGAGATGAACTTTGTTTTAAACCTTTTGCCTTAGTATTTACATTTCTGTATACTTTTAATTGACAAAAACGATGATGTTTCCTCTCCAGGTGTCTGAGCCTTCTGGTGTATGGTATGTCCAAGTAATGTATTCCTAAGTGTTATTATTACTTTCCCTTTTTCTAGTGGTTTCCAGTTTAAGATTGGCACTATCGTGGTAAAACCAAGACTTACATAGACTTTTATCTATCAAATTGTAATTGAGTGCAAGAAGGAAAATCAGGATAAATGATGACATTTAGCTCCTAGATTGAGTTACCAGAAAGTTTCTGATCATTGCCTTATCACATTATGAAACCTTGGAAAACTTGGTGTAAATAAAATCTCATTTTCCTGGAAGAATTTATCAACAAAGAGCAACACAGTGATTTGCTCAGCCTGGTTGATCAGATTTAGGAGTACTACTTCAGAAAATGAAAGCTAAAATGAATTAATTTTTCTTATATGGATCCTTTCCCTAGCCAGTTTTCCTGTCAGAACGTCAGTTTAACTCTGATGATGTTCTGTTGCCTTCTTTAGGGCAGGATTTGTCAGCTGACAGGTTGTACTGCCCATTTCTAGCTCCTGTGGAGCTATCCAATGCCACAGTTTCTTCTTGGTGACTCACAGTTATTTTCCCAGCATCACAGTCCTAGTCTTTTCAGAGGAGAGACTCTGAATGGAAAAGGAGAGCTGGATTATCCTTCTGTTTTGCTATTATATGTAGCCCTCTGTCTCTTGATAAGCTGCCAGTGGTGGATGTTTTGTTTTTCTTGCCTTAGCAGGTACCAGGACTTTTTCATGTAGATGGGGAGATCTTAAAAGTCCCTTTGTGTGAGTCAGGGCTACTCAGCTAGACATAAACTCAGTGTGAGCCTTGTGTTCAGCAGAGAACATTGTCCTCCCAGAATTTCAGGTTTATTCACAGAGGTTTTTATTCAGCTTCAGCCATAACAAAAACAAGAAAGATGAGCTTGCACATCCTGCACTTTTTTCTCCAGAAACTTCAGTCAGAAGTTCTGTAAACAGAACAAATCATCAGTCTACAGGCTGGCTTCCTCTCTCCTGGTGGTGCTTATGACCTAGTTTCTAGTTAACAAACCTCTGCCTGTTTCCTGATTTCACTGCTCTGGCCAGATGAGATAAGGCTGGATGCAGGAACAGAGCCGCCTCCATGTATTTCCACAGAAGTGTTTCTAAATGGGAGTAACATCTAATTAAAATTTACATTTGAAATCAACTTCTAAGTGTTACAGTTTCTAAAGGTATATCCTCATCCACCTTTAAGATCTGCTTCTGTGTCAGACTTTCCT